CATTAATTATGTGATGTTTCCTGTAGTTATTTAATTGCTCTTTTCACTGCACTGTTAGTGTACAGTTTTATTATTATGCTGCTGTGTTTATTGTATTTTTGTAACTCTGGCTCAACAATTTCCTTCAGGATAAATAAAGTCCTATCTTATCAGAAACTGGCCTCTTCGCCCTGTGTAGTCTCTGGTTTCAGACAGAGGGTGAAAAGAAGTGCTGCAGCACAGGCAGTATGAGAAAAACAAAGAGCTTTTTGAACATTAAAGCATGGAGACATGTAGAGACACTACATACTGATATACACCTGAACATCAGCAGGAGAGGACTCTTTAAAGTAGAGACACTACATACTGATATACACCTGAACATCAGCAGGAGAGGACTCTTTAAAGTAGAGACACTACATACTGATATACACCTGAACATCAGCAGGAGAGGACTCTTTAAAGTAGAGACACTACATACTGATATACACCTGAACATCAGCAGGAGAGGACTCTTTAAAGTAGAGACACTACAGACTGATATACACCTGAACATCAGCAGGAGAGGACTCTTTAAAGTAGAGACACTACATACTGATATACACCTGAACATCAGCAGGAGAGGACTCTTTAAAGTAGAGACACTACATACTGATATACACCTGAACATCAGCAGGAGAGGACTCTTTAAAGTAGAGACACTACATACTGATATACACCTGAACATCAGCAGGAGAGGACTCTTTAAAGTAGAGATACTACATACTGATATACACCTGAACATCAGCAGGAGAGGACTCTTTAAAGTAGAGACACTACATACTGATATACACCTGAACATCAGCAGGAGAGGACTCTTTAAAGTAGAAACACTACATACTGATATACACCTGAACATCAGCAGGAGAGGACTCTTTAAAGTAGAGACACTACATACTGATATACACCTGAGCATCAGCAGGAGAGGACTCTTTAAAGTAGAGACACTACATACTGATATACACCTGAACATCAGCAGGAGAGGACTCTTTAAAGTAGAGACACTACATACTGATATACACCTGAACATCAGCAGGAGAGGACTCTTTAAAGTAGAGACACTTCATACTGATATACACCTGAACATCAGCAGGAGAGGACTCTTTAAAGTAGAGACACTACATACTGATATACACCTGAACATCAGCAGGAGAGGACTCTTTAAAGTAGAGACACTACATACTGATATACACCTGAAAATCAGCAGGAGAGGACTCTTTAAAGTAGAGACACTACATACTGATATACACCTGAACATCAGCAGGAGAGGACTCTTTAAAGTAGAGACACTACATACTGATATACACCTGAACATCAGCAGGAGAGGACTCTTTAAAGTAGAGACACTACATACTGATATACACCTGAACATCAGCAGGAGAGGACTCTTTAAAGTAGAGACACTACATACTGATATACACCTGAACATCAGCAGGAGAGGACTCTTTAAAGTAGAGACACTACATACTGATATACACCTGAACATCAGCAGGAGAGGACTCTTTAAAGTAGAGACACTACATACTGATATACACCTGAACATCAGCAGGAGAGGACTCTTTAAAGTAGAGACACTACATACTGATATACACCTGAACATCAGCAGGAGAGGACTCTTTAAAGTAGAGACACTACATACTGATATACACCTGAATATCAGCAGGAGAGGACTCTTTAAAGTAGAGACACTACATACTGATATACACCTGAACATCAGCAGGAGAGGACTCTTTAAAGTAGAGACACTACATACTGATATACACCTGAACATCAGCAGGAGAGGACTCTTTAAAGTAGAGACACTACATACTGATATACACCTGAACATCAGCAGGAGAGGACTCTTTAAAGTAGAGACACTACATACTGATATACACCTGAATATCAGCAGGAGAGGACTCTTTAAAGTAGAGACACTACATACTGATATACACCTGAACATCAGCAGGAGAGGACTCTTTAAAGTAGAGACACTACATACTGATATACACCTGAACATCAGCAGGAGAGGACTCTTGAAAAGCCCAAGTCTTTGTCTGAGTACTAACAGGAATTATAACCATTACTGCAAAGATATAAGACCAACATTTCATGAGACTTGAATTTCCAAGAACCTCCTAAATGGTTGCCAAGCTTTTAGTGTTTTTTCTAACTCTCTCTCTGCGTCAGATGCCAGACATGAATGACTTAATACAGGCGGCAGTCTCCAAAAGAGAGAAACAGCTCACAAAGCAGACATCTATTTATAAGAAATGACAAAAGATTGTGAATCATTTGTTGAAGAATAATCTATTTTCGTTTGGGTGACATAACCGGCAGTCTGGAGCTCTTCCTCTTTCCCTGGCAGCTTTGACATTTTCATTGAGACTTTTCGGTTTAGCACCTTATGTGCTCAAATCTTTTACCCAACTCAGAGCAGATGGCGTTGGGGATTCACGGTGGCCGAAAACTTTGGCTCCAAAGAAGAATCTGTAACTAGGAGAGCATATGCGCCTGGCTAATGTTTCATGAGATGAAAAATAATAAGTAATACCAGAAAGCAAAAATGTAAATCTGCTTAATTAGTAATTCTGAGGCAACCATGCCACACACTGGATTTATGAATAATGTATTAGTATTAACTACATACTTTATCTTAACTACTGTAAGACACAGCTGCCGTTTGGTCACAGAGCATGCTATGAAATATTTTAGATATTAAATAAATGATCATGCACATTAACAGTAATACAAATACACATATATTTCTATATTTAGTAGTTTTGTTGTTGTTTTTGTTAAATTCAATGTGTAAATTGTGCTCTTTTGAAATATTTGAAATATTAAATAAATAATCTTGTTGTTACGGTTGCTGTTTGTCTGCTCATTAATCTGCCTGTGAGTGTTTTCAGCTGTGTGTGTGATTATGCAAATAAGCTGTGTTGTTGCTTCAACATCATTGGCTGCCCATCCTGTGGGTATTGTCCACAGTATCTGACCATTGCATGTATAATATATGTGTAATGTGTGTATATGTAAAGCGCTTTGAGTCATTGAAAAAGCGCTATAATAAATGTAAGGAATTATTAATTAATTATTATTATTATTAATTAATTAATTATTATTATTATCCTCTGGTCCGCCTCTGAAGATGGTGATTGGATTGACGTCGTCCAATCGCAGAGCACAGCCGGTGCACACCTGCTGGGGAGGAGTACAAAGGCCGGACTATCTTCACTCTGGAGGCTCTGTTGAGGAACAGACTTGCTCGGCGTTCTGTGTTAACTTGTGTGGTCTTATTGATTGTGATACATTCTGTTAACAGGGGTTAACTCGTATGTGCTTAGGGTCGTGTTGATATATGTGTTTACAGTAGAGTGTTTAGTTACCTTATTTAGCTGTGTTTTCTTACAGCTTCCTTTATTTAGTTGTACCACTTTTAGAGTGAGGTTTTGTTTCGTTCTCTATATTAGTATTTATTTCTTCTGTATGCCTTTAGACTCCTTTTGAGTCCTCCTTTTGTTCGGTTGTTTGTCAACCGGTGCCCTTTTGGCCCTTTTGTTGTTTCAGGCTGCCTGCCTGCCATTTTGTTTCACCCGTTTGTAATAAAACTACTTATAACTTTGACCAATTCCACTCTGGTTTGTGTTGCTTCCCTTTGGTTCCCCTAGCCCAGTAGGGAACGTAATACATGTTCATATTTATACATTTATATATACGTATATTTTATTTAATATTTTTTTATTATTTTAACAATGCTCTTTTGGCAGTTTGTGTAATATGAACTTGAAATATGGATTTTCTGCTGAGCCACTGTAACCGTTTTTTTGGGGTTAAGTAATTGGACTTGCCTCGAACCAATAGACTTTTATATTTCAATGTGTGTGTCTAGGGTGCATACATACAATCCAATAGTTCCTAGGATTTGACAGCCTTTGAGACGCTGCTTCCTCTCCCTGGCCGTGGCCGTCAGATTGAATAAGCTTTATTTAAAACTCAGCAACAGACGGACGACTCTGAGGAGAGTTCGAGGCTCCCTGGGTGCCTTGTTAAGGATCAGCAAGGGTAAATTGTTGACACATCCCAAATAACACCGGGCAACTGGCCAAACACACACACACACACACACACACACACACACACACACACACACACACACACACACACACACACACACACACACACACACACACACACACACACCACACACACACACACACACACACACACACACTTGAATGTGTAAACGTACCTGGAAAAAACCCTGATTCTGATTTGAGAGACTGAAAACAGAACTTATTGCCAATTTTGCATAAAAAAATACCAATTAACTGATTATCCAAAATAGTGGCGTTTCTTTACAACTTAACGATGAGTCGACTTATCGTTGCAGCTGTTTAACAGATGAAGGTAATGCAATTACATACATGCATGCTATTTCATCCACACTCGTACAAACAGTTCACACTTGCAAACACTCACACATCACAATCGAACAAGATAATACTCACAACAACCGCTCTTACATTTTTATATTTCTTTGTATGCAGCTGAACAATTTCATGTTGGAGATATTATCTTCAAACCAGTGTGGGTGGGTGTGTGTGTGTTCACCTGCTCATATAGGGCGGCCTGAGGCAAACTCTCTCTGTACTCAGTGTTGTTGTTTTGAGAAATAACTTTACACACATACACACACACACACACACACACACACGCACACACACACACACACACACACACACACACACACACACAAACACACACACACACACACACACACACACACACACACATTCTCTCTATCAAATCAACTGCAACTCAAGTGTTTTTCTGCGATCCCAACAGGAGACTGTAGATGCCAAACACACCATGGAGAAAACAAAAGGTAATGGAAAAATCAGTCGGAGCTGTTCGGCTGTGTCGGGGGGGAAATTAAAAACGTTGACAGGAGGGTGTCAGTCACAATCAGAGTCATCATAACAATCACAGAGGAATCGTACCGTTAGCATCGCGGTAGTACGCGTGTGTGACGCTCCGGAAACGCTCCTGTCCCGCGGTGTCCCAAATCTAGAAAAGAAACACAGAAATAGGACATTTTAAACACTTCTATCACCATCAGTTACCATAATATTAAGCATGACTGTGTTACTCTGATCTGATTAGCTTGAACAACATCGTCGGAGCAATTAGCAACCGTAATCAATAAGTTCTAGCTACTAACTAGGGGGCTTTATATGGGGAAAATACCAATGTAGCATTTATAGCGCTATAAGAGCATCATTCAACACATTCAGAATGTCCTCATGTTAACAAAAAAGTCCCATAACAATATTCCTTGTAAAAAGAAAGTGGCCCGTACTAATCTAACCCCACCAAATCCTGACATTTTTAGGTACACGGTATCTTTTGATAATCTGTAAACTCCTCAAATGTGCCGCTACGCACCCATCTGAATTTGATTTCATTACGTTTTAGTTAAAGAACCATCCAGCCAATTAAAAAATGAAATGTAATCAAAATAGGAGCCATCAAAACACCATTAACGTAACATACTGTCCATTTCTAATTGAACCATTTTGCCTCGCAAGTTAAATAGCCGTTAAACTCCTGTCGGGGAAATCACCTGAAATAACACATTTGACAGAAAGGTTGATGGATGAACACCGATCCATTAGAGATGAGAAAGATGGATGAACAAAACCATCAGACAGAATCTAATCCTGATGGACTCATCGGCATCTCTGTCTCTGTCTCTCGCTGATAACTTCCAGGCTTGATAATCTGATGGAAACTCTGTTATTTGTGTTCAGAGCAGCAGGTTAATTGGCTGATGGAGATGAACCAAGGCCGCATTAAGTCATCAGTTGGCCCTCAAACCGCAGGCGATGAAGATGTATGAACACCGAGGGAAACAGTTCCCTGAGATAAATCATTAAAAATATCATATCTCCTCATTAATACCAAATAAAAGGAGACTCCTACACCTTTAACTAAGGTTTAAAAAGATTCATATTGTGTCCTTACCTGCAGTTTGACCTTCACAGCATCAATGTTCATCACTTTATTCTGAAAGACAAAAGGAAAGGAAACAACAGATGTGAAAAACACTTCACACAAGTGAGTAAAAACAGCTTTTGAAAACATTACAGAGGCGCACTAAGTGATGCTTTTCAAGGGGAATGCTCTTTCCTGAAGGGTAATAGAGTTTGGAAAGTGAGTACTGTGGTGTATTTCTGTATTAGGGTTAGCTTTTTGTAACAACTGTTGGTACTAAGGGTTCGGCTTAACATCAATGTGATTCTGTCGACACTTTATACTTTCTAGAGCTCGAGTGTAAATACACTCAGATGGTAGACGGTGACTCAAAAACCCCCACAATGCTGTGCTGTTTAACACAAAGAGGATACTTATCTCTACTTTCATTTGTTCCACGAAATATTGAGGACTGAAACAATGATTTCCATGCAAATGTTCCCACACACTGGATACAGTAAACAATTGGCGCGAAAGGAAGAAAACCAACCCACAACGTTGTGTTATTTATCATTTCAACACGGCTTAGTTTAATACTGGATTCTGATTGGTCAATTCGGACACTCCAGAGGTCTGATATTGTGCGCTAACAAATCGTTGCTAAGGAGAACAGACCGTTGCTAAGGAGAATCGAGGGACTGTGTGCAATGGTTTTGCAGCAATAATGGATTTTGAGGACAGGAGAACATTAAGATGATACAGAGATATTGTAATGGTTTATTTCAACCAATTAGGCGCTTTCTTTTTTATATGTAATCCCCTTCTTGCCTCTCTTGGTCCTCTGACACACACACACACACACACACACACACACACACACACACACACACACACACACACACACACACACACACACACACACACACACACACACACACACACACACACACACACACACACACACACACACACACACACACACACACACATCTGTTGTTATGATAACGACCTTTATTTCCGGGAGTTGCATCATTTACAAACCCCATAGCTGTCAGGCAGTTTATCAGAGTGTAGACACACACAAAGCTTTCCAATACCTCTGCGATATCTCTTTAGGAGGAAAATAATGGTCGTAGGGATTTGTTCAAAATGACAATGCGGTAAGGGTCACCAGTGGAAACAACTCCTCCATCATTTCAAATTATTCTACCAGATAAAGAGCTGATCTAACGTCTATCTTATATTCATAGATATGCAAATATAATAATAAAGCTTTATTCATACAGCACTTTTCATACAACACGTGCAGCTCAAAGTGCTTTACAAAATGATCACAAGTTAAAAACACACAACAAGAAATTCCCCTCAGAGTACTTGTTAAAGGTCCATGTCATGGCCATTTCTACTGATCATAATTCCATTGTTGAGTCGACTAGAATAGATTTACTTTGTTCAATGTTCCAAACTCACATTGGTTTCTCACAGCATCTCTGTATAGTCTGTGTATTCACTCTCTGTCCTAAACGGCTTGTTGGAGCTCCTGCCCCCCCCCCCCCCCCCCCTCCCTGTGAGCCCAGTGTGGTGCTCTGATTGGTCGGGACGTTGCGAGGCTCGCTGCTCAGTGAGCTGGCTTACTGGTGTGGTTTCCGGGTCGGCGATACAGCGGGACAGCTCGAAACTCATCCTGAGCACACACACACACTCACAGCCGAAGTAAAACCAATAAGTGTGGCTTGATATTGAGAAAGAAAAAGGTTTATAACGCTGTGAGAATGGGTCTGTGGAGAGCATTTCTCCGCCATCCCAACTCGTCTATTACCAGCGTTCAGGGAGCTCTATGCAAGTCAATGGGGACTCCTTGATAGTTGAAAATGTACGCTAAAGGTCCCCACCCCTCCTTGTGTGGGAGGAGCTCCGCGGATTGGTCCATGTTGGTTCCCGGAAGAAACAAATGGAAAAAGAGAAATCTCCAACGAGGCGTTCTGGGGCAGCACAGACAGGTCTTCTCTGTGTTAGAGTTTTACTCGCTACAGGGTGTACTTTGAGGGTTTGTGACTCTGCAGACCGTTTACATGCAGAACAACCTTCATAACACACAAGGGGACGGGTGATAACCAGAAAAGCATGACATGGGACCTCTAAAAGGTACATGCAGCTAAATATAACATTTATCAGGTTAATAGACACAAGGAGGTAAAATGTATGATAATAAAATATAATAAAATAAATAATGGCTTCTCTCTGACAGATAAGACAACTGAGTCAATGCATCAATATAAAACATAAAACTCCATAATACAAAGTGAAATATGCATTTAGTATTAGCAAAAAAAGGTGGATAAGGACCCTCTTGATTAGGTTTGAGGCACAAAACAGCATTTCTAACATGCCTTGTTATCCTGTTGAGGAATGTTTGAAAGTGTCACTCTGGCAAAGACTCGCTGGGCGGCTTCTGCTGAGCCTTGATGAAGATCCCTGGAGACACGGTATGTTTCCTGACAGACCAATGTCTACCTCTGAGGATACATGAGGACGGTAATACAGAGTTTTCTGCAGGCAGATGGTGAGGAAGCATGCTCTAATGTTCCTCGGATGATCAGACTGCAGAATTTGCCATTCAGTTACATGCTTTGAGGTCTCAGCGGGGCGACAGACCTTGGAGAGCTCGCCTACAGCATAATATAATAATATAAGCAGAATCAGGTTCTAGTAAAAGCGCTAGTCGTCATATTAATAGTTTGGAGACATTTTCAACCAAGAACACGAGTAAGAAATGTGTTCATAGTGAATTATCTATAAGCCATCAAGGCCAATCCCATTTTAAAATGTGCATCTATACTGTACATGTTAATCTGAATCTACTGGGTCAGCAATTAAAACGTGCTGCCTTCTTGGACTTAATAGTGGCGGATTTAGTATCGTAGGAGATTCGGTGCTTATCCCAGAATTTAGAAGTTGTTGAGCGGTGGGGGGGGGGGGGCTACTGCGGGGCTACTGCGGGGCTACTGCGGAGCGCATAAAGCAGACTCTCACGCTGACCAGAGGACGCTGACGAAGGATCACTTCTTCGTCAGGGCAGGGAAGGCTAAGCAGTACGCAGGCTTCTGTCCCGCAGCTGCTGCCTCTCTGTTGGACTCCGGTACTGCACATTACTCACGAGACGTTTAAAAGAATGAATTGCTTCAAGTGAAACATTCGGGGCTTTTCAGAAAACATCCGGGGCTTGAGCCCAAGTAGCCACCCCCTTGCGCCGCCACTGGTGTAAACATAATTACTTTTTTGCGGATATAGTGCAAGTTGTAATTCATATATCCTGGGACTAGAGCTGAGGACACACTAGGGACAGAAACTATGATTTAAGTGGCACTTTTCTGCTTTTTGGGAGTTTTCTCTTACTTGTAGTGGGTGCTGGAGGTTTTAATGCATGTAAATGGTCTGCAACAACTAAAATCCCAACGTATCAGAGTTTCTCACCGTTCTTTTTTAACATTAAAGCATGGAAACACTGCTGTAGAGGAACAAAATACAGATAGGTACCTGAAAAAATGCGGAATAGGGCTCTTTTAAGAACCAGTGTCAACATGCTGACCAGCGGAACATTTGAATGGTGAATGTCCATATCCATTTATAAGAGCCAAGACGTGGGTAGATGGAAAGTATGTCAGTAAAGATGGTACAAAAGAGGCTGGTACAACATGAAATATGGATATCGGGGGTCAAACACAGCAGTTCAAAGTGATGTTTGGTCAGACTGCTTCAAAATATCAGAAAAAGATACGAAAGACAGAAGGTTTGACAGATCATCGGAGGCGGCAGCTTTAAAGCCTGATCTGTTGGCTCAGTCTCAACAGCAGAGACATCAGTCAGGATTGCTTTTCACTCGCAGATGAAAAAGCACTTTTCATTGAGGCGGCGACTCCTCTCAAACACAACTAAACACAGCGGTCAGACAAGAAGAGGATCTCTACAGTAGAGAAAGAAAGCATATACAGTAGGAGGGGGGGCAGTAAAAAACACATTAAAGTGCATTCCATTAAACTGAATTGAATAGCTGTCAGCTGGCGGAAGAGGATTGCCCTTTAGTATAAAAACTGAGTGACAGATCACCTGCTGAAGGCGAGTGAACTCAGCACAGTGCGCACGTAAAGATAATCTTAACACAAGAGAAGATAAAGCCTAATTTATTTCGTCACTCTTCTTATTGCTGCTTCACCTGCACTTTGCCGATTAACTGTAGATCCAGAATCTGTGTTGCCGGGTTTCCACTTTCTTGCTTTGCCTCATTCTTAATGCATTTCATCCATATTGCATGCGGCACACTGTGTGTTATAGGTTTACATTACAAATGGGAAACACTTAACATCTTCTCGGCCTCATTTGCTGCATATTTACTGCAGTATATATATATACCCCGGGAAAGAGTAAGTGCTTAAGGCAAGCCCTGCAAACAAGCAATGAGGTTTTGCAGCACAGAAGCTCTGGAGAAGTCTTTTATAACGGGAATGACCGGTCATACTATAAAAATAACTCATTCCTGCAGAGAAGCTCACTTAACGGTATGTTTTTATGCAACAAGGACGGCGCATAAACGCAGGTACCAGCTGTATAAAGACGTTTGTACCCTAACCCTAAAATCATAACTCTGCCATCTCATTAGAGTTTAGTTACCTTTGTTTAATCTAAGGCTACAGAAAATAGCCATTACTCCATAACTTGAGGCAACAAGTCACAACTAATGCAGCCCCTTATTGTTTGTTTTGGGGTCATAACTATTATCCAGGGTTTACAGATGGTTAACTTCCCTTTGACCAGCCAACTACAAGGTCATTACTATGGGTTTGCCAAACTGTACGCCAGGTTGGAGTCATTTCGCTTTCTGCCATGTCTCAATTCAGATCCTTCACACAGCTGCTCTGCCATCCTTGGAAGTATAGAGTGCCGCTGTTAGCTCGCAAGTTAGCTAGCATTGATCGTTTGCAGTAGCCAATCAATCATTACAGCAGCTCAATTAAACCAAGGGCAACTTCCAGGATGTAGCCAAGATGGCGGTCATTAAAGGGCCCATGTCATGCTTTTCTGGTTATTACCCGTCC